CTGTTTTTTCTTAAGTTATAGACAATTAGAATAGCTTGTACATTTTAGATATTTAAAGTATTTTCTATAAAGTCTGAGCCACTTCCCCACAAAATTGGCAGAATACCTTTGTATGAATATGATAGAAAATAAAGGAGTATTTCTATTGCTTTAAAGTTCTATTTAAAAGTTCTATTTCTATTGCTTTAAGTTCTAAATATTTTATATGAGTTTTATCAAATGGCAAGTCCTATTATATCAACTTTTTATTTTCTAAGAAGTAAACATAATTTAAATCAGAGAAGCTCCACTATTACTTGGCATTGCTACTTTTCATTTCTTGGTGACTTTCAATGACAAAACTTTTATACCTCCATAGGTGACCCCAACATGCAAGAGAACAACGAGATGACAAAAAAACCCTTACAGAAAGACTCTCTCATGAATGAAAATCAAGAGGCACTACAAAGCATCAGCAGAATTAGACCGTCAAGAACCCCAAACTACATAGATAATAAAAAGGATCAAAACAGAAAACAAAACGTTTTTTAAAAAGTTAATTGGCAAATGCAATAACTAAAAGACAAATAACCCAATTAAAAATGGGCAAAGATCTGAACAGACATTTCTCCAAAGATATGTAATGGCCAGTAAGAATGTGAAAAGATGCTTGATGTCATTAGCCACTAAGGAAATGTGAATCAAAATCCAAATGAGGTAGTATTTCATACTTCCTAGGATGGCTACAATAAACAAACAAACAAAAAGACAATAACAAGTGTTGGCAAAGATGTAGAGAAACTGGGCCCCTCATACACTGTTGGTGGAACGTGTGTGCTCAGGTGCTTGGTCATGTCCGACTCCGTGGCCCCAGAGACTGAAGTTCTCCAGGCTCCTTCTGTTCATGGAATTTTCCAGGCAAGAACACTGTAGTGGGTTGCTATTTCCTACTCCAGTGGATCTTCCTGACCCAGGGATTGAACCCCTATCTATCGTGTCTCCTGCATTAGCAGGCAGATTCTTTACCACTAGCGCTATCTGGGAAGTCTGGTGCAATGTATAATGGTGCATTCCATTTGAAAAACGGTCTGGCAGTTCCTCAAAGGGTTATATTTAGAGTTACGACATGAACCAGCAATTCCACTCCTAACTGTATACCCAAGAGATGGAAAAATGTTGGTAAACACAAAATTTGTACACAAATGTTCATAGTAGCAGTATTTTTAGTAGCTAAGAGGTAGAAGAAACCCAAATGTCCATCAACTGATAAAATTAAATGTGGTAGATCTATACAATATCCCATTTATATGAAATGTTTAGCAAAACCATACCTATAATAGACAAAATATATTAATGGTTAAATATGGCTGGAGTTGGGGGTGAATGGGAAGTGACTACTAATGGGCATGGGATTTCATTTTGGAGTGAGAAAAATATTCTGCAGTTGACTCTGAGGATAATTTAAAACTTTGTGAATATACTAAAAATCATTAAACTATATTACTTTAATGGGTGAACTGTAGTATGTATTAATTAGATCTCAATAAAGTAATTATAAAAATATGATAAAATTAATTTGGATAGTAATAAGAATGAAATTGAAAACTCAACAGAATTGACTAGAAAAAATTTAAATGCCATATACAGTAGGCCTTTTAAAAACACCATAAATATCTAAAAATGCATGTATAAAAATGTGTAAGACTTCTATGAAAAAAACTACAAAACAGTGCTAACAGAAATTTTAAAAGTTCCAAGTCAATTTTCCATTTCCTTATACATTTATAACTGACAGTTTTTAGTGTTTTTGACATTTTTTTTTTTTGACAAACATTTTTAAAGGCCACAGGACAATCATAATTTCTCCCACTGATTAAGATGGCTTTGCATAGTTTTAACTTCTATGGCTATCTTTGTGGTCTTGCCTATACTTAAAATTAATGAGTTAAATGTATTATTTCAGAAATTAGAAAAGAACGGTAGAGTAATCCCAAAGATGGTACAAGGAAGAAAATAAGGGTAAGAGTAGAGATTAATGAAATAGAAAATGGAAGATTCAATAGAGAGAATTGAAAAAAATCTGTTCATATTCATGAACTGAATTGATTATCAAGGATAATCAAGGCAAAATGTGTATTCTTATGAACACATCACCCACTTTATGGAAGAGAACAAAGTCAATGAAAACAATTGGCACTGATTTTTGAGTTCTCAAACATTTGTGAACGTATGAAGAGGCATCTTTCTGGTCTAGGAGACTCTAGAACGCACTCTCTCCTTCCATCTCCCAGCCACCCAGAATGTGTCGGCGTCCGCTCCCTCGGTCCTGCCCCCACTCACGAGGTGGCGTGTGGCCCGCGGCGGTGCAGGCTGACAGCAGCGCTGTAGCAACGCGAGCTTCACTGAGCCCGTCTCAGGCGACGGGCAGCCTCAGGGGAGAGTAAGATCGGGCCGGCCTCCCCGGCCTGGCCACAGGCTCGTTCCTGGGCGGCACCTAGGCTGCCGACCACCCTCGCCCAGAGGTCACGACCTCCACAGCCCTCACTGCCTTGCCTGGCGGCAGTGCACGTGGCTGCCCACGGAGGTTCTCTCACTCCCGTGTGGAAGCCGTGACCGCCAGGTTGAGTCTTACAGTCTACCAGGCTCCCCGAGGAAACGCGGGCTGAGCGCCCGCCCTGCAGCTCTGGGAGGTAACGTCCACTGACGGGACTTCCGAGGATGAGACGAGGCAACGCACGGAGGACCCAGCTCACAGCATGCATTTACCAAGACCTGAGTTTCTAAGCACAGCAGTCCAAAGGTCAAGCAACAGGAGTAAGAAGACAAACGCTGTGTCTGTAAGACTTCTGGTATTTCCATCTTCCTCGACCCCATGACACCTGGTGTTCCTGGTGGGACCCTAGACCACTGAGCTCGAAACAGCACACGTGCCGCCCCTCCGCAGGCTTTGGCTGCTTTGACACCACCGATTCCTGGGCACCTCCTTCTGGAAAAGGCCCCACCGCGCGGTTTCCGTTTTCTTCCTCTTCAGCGGCCTGACCGGCTGCCTCTTCCCTTTCCCTTGGCCTCAGGGAAGCACAGTGAAGTGCGGAGGTGAGGAGCCCGGGCACACACTGCCTCTCCGGGTCTTCATGCCAATACCACAAGGTCAGAAACCAGACAAGAACACCTTCTTGAAAAACAAGACAGACAACACAATCTACTTTAGGTCTTTCTCTTTTTCCTATGAATTGTCCTTTGCTCTTCCATACAGGAATTTAAATAGAAACAGGGTAATATTTGAGTCTAAACTTTAACAAGATAAACTAAGTGAATCAAAAGTAGAACATGTCAGGCCTCTAAAAGTACCTCCAACAAGGACAGAACTTTCTCGTGGAATGGCTGTGAGGAGAAAATTAAGTATATGACACAGTGAATATAAGTGAAAAGGACAACTTGGAACAAAAATGAAACACAGCAAGTAATTTCCATCCCCTCTGAATGAAACACATAGGCTGGAAAGCTTTCATCATTGAAGCTGAAGTTTTAAGACTATGTTTGTAACAACACGGTTGCTGTGGAAACAGTTGATTCAACAGTATGAACTCACAGCTGAATCAAGTAAGGTGTGGAACAGAAGTCTTATTCAAACAGTGGCAAGAACCATAAAACATTAAAAAGGCACATTGAATGACGGTGAGTCAAAGCACCATATGTTTTAACCTAAGGGTCAGGCATTTTTTTGCCCAATGCCTGACATAAATAGGATGCTTCTTTTTAATTAAGTTCTATTTTTGGCCCCCTGTAATCAGTCCAATCATCCCTCAAACATCCTAAGTTTTACTGCTTCTGTCTACATAACAGCATGTAATTTTTTTTTAACACTGTGTACTTTATTAAATTCATCCACTTTGGATGGAGTTACTAGAATTCAGATCTTGCCGGAGCATGCAGAAGTTATGGCACCAACAGAAGACAACTCAGGGTTTTGAAAATTTTCTGCATGTAACCGATTCTATTACATATCACAGTGCTGATTTATTCATCATTCAGCATCACTTCAGGCTTAGCTTTTGGCTACAGTTTCAAGACTATGAACTCTTTAAGTAGGAAAGTTGTCAGAGAATGTTAACAAGGGCCCAGAGCCACTGCCTTACCCAGCAGCCCAGCCTCCAACCCCAGAACCGTCACCACACCTTGAACTTGTTCCGTGGTTTTTATGGGTCAGTTAAGAGTTTTCCAAGCAATCTTGGAAAAACACCGTATCTAAAAAACCCTCAAGACACTCAGCACAGAAACGGCGTGCATTATGTGAACCTTAAACACATGCTCCTCTGCCCCTCCTCTGCCTCCAGGTCCACTCTTTAACTGGAGAGGGACGCACTTGTCTTTAAAAAGAAAGAACACACAGTGTTCCAATCCTTTCCAAATTCTGACACACACTGTGAAGTCTGAAATGTTACCCTTTATCAAGTAAGATGTGTTCAACAAATTTTTTAAATGATGCTTCTGTGTGAGGCTCTGGAGATGGCAGTGAGCGGGCTCTGTACGGAGAAGCCTCGGCGTGCCCGGGTGTGGCTGCCCGCACCCTCCGCGAGTGCACAGGGGATCCATTCATACCAGCAAAACCGGAAAAATCACAACTGAGGGTGACTGGGGAAGTAGTGACGGCCAAGAGCAGAGCGTAAAGGAGCCGGACTCTGCGGGGTGACTCACAGGAAACGCTCAGCCAGCGGCGGGAGGCCCGGGGCTCACCCCTCCAGTTAGGAATCTAGGTCAAGGCTCCCGGGCTTCACGCTTCAAGGGGGACCTGGGCCCCAAACCTCAGGGGCAGAAGCTCAGCTCCCAGTGGCCTGCCCTCCTCTAAGCGCCCACCGCGGACAGACTGCAGGGAGGCCATCGCCACAGAGGTGAAGGACCCGAGGCCCCCTTTCTACTCTGGATTTGTGCCACTTCCCTGAGTGCTCTTCTCAGGGTGCGCGGGACAGCAGCCCAGGAACCGCGGCTCAGTTAGGTGTACAGGTGACGGATGGTCAGCTCACCCAGCTCTGTCGACACGGGGGACCCGGTGGCAATCTCCCCAATCTTGGCCACTCCATCGTAGTAGGCTCTTCCTGCCAGGATCATAGCTGGAGAGGGAAGGTGATACACAGAACCGTCACACACAGAAAGGAGGAAGCAATACAGGTTTCCTTCCAAACATCTGAGTCCCTTGTGGCCAAGGCGAGTGTGGCTGAGAGGGCAGCGGTGGTGCTCGAGAGCTGTGCTGGAGTGGAGGTCCCCGCCGCCAGACAGCACCCAGGGCATCCGTGCCTCTGACCAGCCCTGGGAACCTTCAGCCGCAGGGGCTGGAGGTCCAGAGGAGCTGCTCGTGACGCCAGTCCCAGAGCGGCTGCGTTCCTAACCCAGGATCATGGCTGGAACAAGTCCACTCCAGCCAGGCTGGTTACTTAACAGCAACACAGGCCTGCAAGCTGTTAGCTGGAGGGGCTTGTGTGGGGTGGCCTAGGCACCCGGGCCTTTGTCGGCATTTTTACTTTTTTCTGTTGAAACAGATAATCTAAGGCACAAGCAACTACCATGCTGTTGCCAGGAGAAAAGTGTATGAAATCTGAAATACATTATCATTTCAAAAAACAACACAATTACCTGAAAAATAACTGAATGCTTTGCTTTTCTTTCCCCTCCTTTTTGGCAGAGACAGGAAAACTTATTGCTATACAAGCTGGATCCTAATTATCTTAAAAATCACATTTCTCCTTTAAAACAGATTCTGAAAACTACATTATAAGGTATAGAAATCTGCTTTTGATTTGGTTTATTTTTTCTTTCCTTTTTTTGGGGGGTGGGGTGGGCGGTGGTTGGAGAGCGTGTCAGAAGCAAGACAAATCTAGGTTTGAATTCCACTGTTACTTCCAACTAACTAACATGACCTTGTTGGGCAAGTTAGTTTCTTTTCTGAAACAAAAGATGTCAATCTAAAAATGCCCTAATAGTGTGTGTATTGGACAAACTAGTCAAAGCTGCTAATACCAATTCCTTCTTTTACTTTACAGCAGGCTGGGTTTCAGGAGACTGACAGTATGCAGTAAGCAAGACTTTCAATAAGACCTAGGCTATTTAGTGTGACTTTGGAGAAAATATTTTATCTTGTTCAAAGGCTGGCTTCTTACACAGACCTCACTTTGCCTGGGAGCCTTGGAGATCACAGGATTTTGGAGATAAAAGAGCCCTAAGCAATCTCCTCTCACTGAGAAAAAAACCTGAGGCCACACCAGCCACTCTGCCCCATTTTAGAGTGGGTATTGTTTTTCAAAGATGGATTTTAAAAGATATTTCAAGTTGAAAAAAGGTGGAAGAGGTCATAGAATTAATTAATCTATAAGTCTGGTTGAAGATACTGAAAGCCAAAAAAGTAGGAGTTTCATGACAGATGAAACTACTTTTGCAGGTCTTGTAGAGTTAAAAAATTTAAAAAGTTACAGCTTTTACTACATGCACATACACATAAATTTAGAAAATATAATGGTTTACTATAGTATTATTTCATAAGACTGAGGATGGCAGAAAGCAAAGAACTAAAGAGCCTCTTGATGAAAGTGAAAGAGGAGAGTGAAAAAGTTGGCTTAAAACTCAACATTCAGAAAACTAAGATCATGGCATCCGGTCCCATCACTTCATGGCAAATAGATGGGGAAACAAAGGAAACAGTGATAGACTTTATTTTGTGGGGCTCCAAAATCACTGCAGATGGTGACTGCAGCCATGAAATTAAAAGTCGCTTGCACCTTGGAAGAAAAGTTATGACCAACTGAGACAGCATATTAAAAAGCTGAGACATTACTTTGCCAACAAAGGCCAGTCTAGTCAAAGCTATGATTTTTCCAGTAGTCATGTGTGGATGTGAGAGTTGGACTATAAAGAAAGCTGAGGGCCGAAGAATTGATGCTTTTGAACTGTGGTGTTGGAGAAGACTCTTGAGAATCCCTTGCACTGCAAGATCAAACCAGTCCATCCTAAAGGAAATCAGTCCTGAATATTCCTTGGAAGGACTGACGCGGAAGTTGAAACTCCAATACTTTGGCCACTTGATGCAAAGAACTGGCTCATTGGAAAACACCCTGATTCTGGGAAAGATTGAAGGCGGGAGAAGGGGATGACAGAGGATGAGATGGTTGGAAGGCATCACCGACTCAATGGACATAAGTTTGAGTAAACTCTGGGAGTTGGTGATGGACAGGGAAGTCTGGAATGCTGCAGTCCATGGGGTCATGGGGAGTTGGACACAACTGAGCAACTGAATTGAACTGAGGATAACCGTAAAGCATAATTATAAAAAAAGAGCACAACAAATAGCATTTAGGTAGACTCTCCAAATCGTTACTTAAGATAATTCATCTACCAGACGGCATTAAGACACAGGGTGCTGATGTTACCACCCTGTTTCATGAAGGAGAGCAGAGGAGAGACATTCTGGGCCAGACCCAAGGTCAGTGGAGAAACAGAGGCAGTGCATGCAACTCCGGCTGGCGTGTTCACTTCCTCGGTGGAAATCACGGTGCTTTTTGACTCTCTGGTCTCAGCTAGCACTGAAAAAGAGGTGACTCCACCTAAAAACAAGGCTTATAGCCAGTAAGCTGTCAAGTTAATATATGTAATATATTTGTGGGAAAATTTAAAATTGTAAGGTACTGATAAGCTGAAAAGCAAATTAGATGGAGAAGGGTAATATAGGATTACACCACACAAACAAAATTTTTGGTCTGCATCCACATATTACATTGAAATTTTTTCAATTTCAACAGTTTCAAATTTTTTCAGTTTTTCAGTTTCACTAACTGTTGACTTATGTTTAAAACTATTAAACCTTCTTAGTCTAGTAAAATATCCTGCTTTTATGATAAAGCTGTATTAATGTAAAAATTATTTATCCTGAAAAAAAGAATAAACTGGTATTTTCATAATTGAGCTCCCTCTTGTAAATATATTAGAAATTTTATACTGGCTACTGTTTTAAGGAATGAAGCTTATTAGTTCTCATTTAGTGGCTGACCAGCTATTTCATCAACCTAAAGTACACACTTCCACCAGAAAAATTTTCCTTAAAATATGATTTCACTAGGTTACAGTTCTGCTCAAAAAGCTTCAGTGGCCTCCCACTGCCCCGGGTGAGCCTGTCCCACTCCGCAGAGTTCATCGTGGAGTTTCACAACTGTGGCCTTCAGTGACTCACACCTCCCAGAACTCCCAGCCGGCGGTGGTGTCTAGGACACGGAGGCGTGGCTTGGTCATGTGACTTGCTTTGGCCAACAGGGTACTAGCAGGCATGACTCCCTGGGGCTTGTACTCTTGGGACTACCAGCCAGGCCTGAGAGAGGAGGTGAGCCCAGCCCTGGCTGCAGCTGATTCTGACTGCAACGCAGAGTCTCGGGCATACAGGCAACTGTACTGCCTTTACAGGGCCATTGGAAATAGTGAACTATTGTCATCTGAAGCCATCAAACTCAGGGGCAGTGTGTTACACGGCAACAGGTAACCGATGCTGCACCCAAATACGCTAATAATGGGACCTCATTCCACCTTAAGTTTTCTGTTCCCCCACGCTCCGCACCATGCGAGTTAGGACCCTGGGTCTTGGCTTGCAGGCTGTCTCTTCTGCCTGGAGCACTAGAAAGCAGCGGCTGCCTGCTGCCACCTGTCATCCCGCTCAGCTCCCGCACGGCCTCCTGCCTGCTCTTCTCCTGACTTCCAGCTCAGACCCCCGTGACTGTGCTGTTTATCAGCAGTGCCTGGTGCCTGACTGCACACGTGGCATCCTTGACTGTACTATGGATTCTTACCAAGGACTTGACACGTTTTATTGAAGTTTCTCAATGGCTTCAGCTAAAAACAGATGGCCTGCAGAAATTCTGGAAACACCTTACGAAGTGCAAAATAGGCCTCAGGAGGTATTAAAGTGATAAGAGGCCTCTGGGGAGAAGTCCTGTTAGCAGGAGGCTAAGCTGTGGGCTGTTCACTGCATCACTTTATAAATCTCTGCCTCAGAAAGGCAGCTCGTGCTAGAAAGGAAAAACAATTGTAGGTCAGACTGCTCTCCTTCATGGTGATGGATAAGGCGAGACTTTGTGTTCTTGTGACTAGGCGATCATCAGGGGAGAAAAAAGTGAAAGTGTTCGTCTCTCAGTCATGTTCAACACTTTGTGACCCCATGGGCTGTAGCCTGCCAGGCTCTTCTGTCCATGGACTTCTCCAGGCAAAAATACCGGAGTGGGTGGCCATTCCCTTCTCTGGGGAATCGATCTACCTGACCCAGGGATCACACTGGGTCTCTAGCAGGTGTGATTCTTTACCTTCTGAGCCACCAGGGGAGGCCCCCACCCCCTCATCCGGGGAGAGTCAGCTTGCAAAGCAAAGCTCCAGCTTGTTAAAAGAGGGCGGGGGCACCCACAGAAGTCATCCACACTGCCGGGGGAGGAAAAGGCCAGGCCTGCTGCACTTCCTGACACTGGACAGTGGCTGAGAGCGCCAAGGCCTGGAGGAAAGCCAACAAGCAGCTTATCGCTGCAGTGACTGCCACTGCAGGGCGCCCGTCATCCAGCGTCCCAAGTCTTGCCAGCGCCTCCCCTCTCCTGGCACATGCCCAGGCTAAGGGTGTGAGGGTGCAGATTTATTTTCAAAACATCACCAGGGAGCAGCTGGAGGTGGGGGTATCGTGACGGACAGAGGCAAGACGGGGAGAAAAACACAGAGCTTGACCTGAAGGCTTCTTCAAATCTCGAACTGTTGGAAACTAAGCTTTCTACTTATGTTACGTGCTGGGCCTAGTGAATCAGGGTAGATGGCAAAACTGGGATCTGAATGTTTGGCGGGTGGGTGACATGTGCTACATATGGAGAATGGTTCTGACCATGTTAGAATTTTCAAGGTGATCCTGATAACACCCACCTTGGGGAGGGGGTTGGGGAGGGGAATGCACGTGAAGGTGCATATCATCATCCTCAAATGAAATCTGTTCAAAGCAGCAACTGACTCTAGTTCACAGAGAGACAAAAGCCAATGCTTGAGACCATTTTAAATGAGAATCTAAGTTCAACTTTTAATTTAGATGTTTTTCCCTTCAGGCTAAACATCTTATTTCTCACTATTACTAGCAAAAGTGATACATCGCCCCCCATCCCCACCCAATGATACACTCAAAGATCAAAAATTCTTCTATATAAAAAGGAGAGTAATTCCTATGCTTTAGGATCCTAATACTTTAACTACCTTTTTAATATATTGGTTTACAAAAAATTTGGTTTATAAAGTAGAAAACATGTTTATATTTTAATGATATAAAAGATTAAGCAGTTTCAAAAGGCAAAATCTGATATTTAAGATATGTTACTTATAGTAGTCTATTATTCAATTCACTTATTTCAAATAAACTAATATCCTACCATTGCAAAGTTCTGTAGATTAATTATAAACTTTACCAATTTAAAGATATTTTAGAAATTCAGTAGCAAGTATTTAAAAATAATTAAGTAAAATATTTAATAAGTGGCTTTTGTACATCCTCTATATTTATAAATTTAGAAAACAGATACTTACCATTAACAGCTTTTTCGTAATTTTTCCCTAGGTTTATTAAATTTCGTAACCCAGGATTGAACTGTTCCAAAACATTCTGAAAAACAAACAAAAAACCAAATTAAGAAAATAAGTGACTACTAGACCAGGTAACCTTCAGAGGTCGTCACTGCATAGCCGAGGATCCCCATGTGTGCCCAATGGCACGGTCCACAAAGTCATGGATGCTGATTTGAAAGCAGAAAAGAGCACGTCCATCCTGACTGAGGGAATTGCTGCGGCCACGTAACCCTGGCCACGCCTGCCCTGGAGCTGCCTAGAGCTGACTGTAAATGGAGCCTGTAGCAGACATGCAGCCCCCACAAAACACAGCCTGCAGGGGGCTGTCAGTTCAGAAGCCAATGCTGCTTTTGGGTTTAGGTAAGTTAATGGCTGTGACACTAGTGATAGCAAACACGGGTGCATGACAGGAACTTAAGTACATGGACAGTGTTTTGGCTATCAATAAAGAAGATTTTTGGTCCATAGAGAAGGCTGAGTGCCAAAGAATTGATGCTTTCAAACTGTGGTGTTGGAGAAGACTCTTGAGAGTCCCCTGGACTGCAAGGAGATCAAGCCAGTCAGTCCTAAAGGAAATCAAGCCTGAATATTCATTGTAAGGACTGATGCTGAAGTTGAAGCTCCAATACTTTGCCCACCTCACCTGATGCGAAGAGCCAACTCACTGGAAAAGACCCTAACGCTGGGAAAGATTGAAGGCGGGAGAACAGGGTGGCAGAGGACGAGATGGTTGGATAGGATCACTGACTCAATGGACAAGAATTTGAGCAACAGAACAGACATTTCTAAGAGATGTTTTTGCTCTGCCTAATTACTAGGAGAGGGATGGGTGTGGATGGCTCCAAGACACAGGACTGCCTGGAACTTTCTTTGTAGGGGGTCACTGGTCTTTTCTCCTGGTCATCAGTTCACTCATTACGTATATTTGGAACGTGCACCAGGCCCTGTGCTCACAGCAGCAGAGGTGGAGATGTTGCCCATTCTGGGCTTCATGATGCTCTGTCTCTGCAGATGTCACGGATTTCATTTTTAAAAGTGTCATTTCTACATCAATAGAAGGTCATAAACAGAGAGAGAAGCACTATGACAGGTATAAGACAAGCAACTATTTAGAATATTGGTCTAAATTTAAAATGCTATCCTAAATCTGATGTTACAGACAAGAAATCATTCCTATGAGGCTCGGAATATATTTGGTGACTGAATATATTTGTCCCACCAACAAACAATAAGCTTCACAATATTAATTTTTCCAGGTAGACCAGTCAAATGTCTTTACTGCCCGCCTCCACCAAAACGTGTACCTTGTTTGTAGAGGCCCAAGCAACAAAGAATAAAAAAACCACACAACTTTCAAAGGGCAGAAACATGACACATGTATCCTACGGGATAAAGAGGTTCTCCATTACATGTTAGTAGGGGAGAAAGAACATAACAACTTTTATTTTAACTGTTCTTTATTAAAGAACATTGTAACTTTTATTAAATATTATTAAAAGTTTATTTATTAACTTTTATTTTATTAGATGCATTTTATTAGACACCGATAGAGGCTTATCATGGAAAATAATCCCTGCCTCAACCCTTCCCCACCCCTGGCCTTATTCCCATGTAACAGCTCCACTGAAAGTGCTCTTTTGTATTTACTGCCATAGTTTTGATTAATATTCTTGATTTCTTGACTTTGGACAATAACCACTGGCTTTCTGCTATGGTAAACAACTCTACCTTCCTTGTTCCCAGTTTTTCCTATATAACAGCAGTTTCCTGGCATATCAACAGTCAATATTTATTATGACTTTGTAAATACTGGTCACTACAATGCAAGGAATATACCAAGAATTATGCTTCCTTTTTTTTTTTTTCAATGTTGTTGTTGTTTAGTTGCTAAGTCATCTCTGATTGTTTGTGACCCCATGGACTGTAGCCTGCCAGGCTCCTCTGTCCATGGGATTTCTCAGGCAAGAATACTGGAGTGGGTTGCCATTTCCTTCTCCTATGCTTCCTTTCTTGATACACCTTTTTGTTTCTCCTGAGATTAACAAGTCTCATTCCAATGACTCTTTAGATTTTTCCATGCATCTTCCTCACACTCCATGAGATCTAACAGAAGCCTACTGATATTTTTCAAGCCAAAGTTGTCAGTTGATCTTCAATTTTTTTTTCCTCCCAGAACTTCCTCAAGGACTCTCTGTACTCTTGCTCAGCCTGGCCTGACCGTTTCCTGCCACGCTGGTGCCCTCACATGTCCCTTTTTGGTCCCCCATGTGACAGAGTCTCATTAGCTGGATTCCACATCTTCCTCTTTCTTCATTTGTCCCTATTATCTGGAGATCACTCTCTAAGAATGACCTAAGAAATGACATAGGAGGTAGATGTGAGTCCCCATGTGCCTGAAATTATATTTACCTTGATGTTTGATTGGTATTTCACTGGGCAGAGTATTTCAGGCTGAAAGTGCTTTTCCCTCAGGATATAAAAGATATTGCTCCTTATAAATTACTGTCTTTATTTTTCTAATACTTTTATTTATTTTCAGCTGTGCTGGGTCTCTGTTGCTGCGCTGGCTCTAGGGCGTGCCAGTAGCCGAGGCTCCTGGGCTCGAGAGCACAGGCTCAGCAGTTGGGGCACATGAGCTTAGCTGCTCTGAGGCAAGGGGGAGCCTCCTGGATCCAGGGATCAAGCCCGTGTCTCCTGCACTGGCAGGAGGACTCCTTACCGCTGAGTCACCAGGGAAGCCTTCCACTGTCTGTAATGTCCAGTTTTGCTACTGAGAAGTCAGCTGTCATTTGTACATGACTTTTTTTTTTTTTATGAGATGCGGCAGGGAAAGGGGCTTACTTCTGGAACCCTTCTCTTTATTCTTGTGTTCTGAAACTACACAGTGGTCTGTCTCAGTGGGGGTATTTTTAAAATTTATTTACTGGCACTCAAGCAGAGCCTATCCATAAAGAAAATTACATCCTTCAGGTCTGAAAATGTTCCCATTTGATTCTCTTCATTCTCTGGAACTCTGAGAAGGATTTTATATAACCTGGATTTATTTTCTAATCATCTTACCCTTTTCCTCTGATTCTTCGTTTTTTGTTGTCTCTGACAGATAGCCTCAACTTTACTTTCCAACTCTTCTGTTTTTAAAACTTTTGATATATTTTTGGGCTCTTTCAAGTTTTTTGATTATTCCTTTTAAAAGGCATCCTGTTCTTGCTTTATGGATGTGGTGTCATCTCTTATCTGAATAAACTGCAATTTGAGGGGTATTATGTGCCAATCCCCCACTGTTTGGTATCTAACTGCCTTTCATGTTGGAGGCATTCCTCAAATGGCTGGCGATCCTTGACTATCAGTTTGTGTTTAGGAGTCAAGCCCTAAAACGCTGGCTGGAAGTGTTTAACCACAGGGTGGTTATTGACTAGGCAGCTTCATTTGAAACAACTGGACAGCAGGTCAGCTGTAAAGAAACTGGCCAAGAGACAATAACCAAGGGCCACTGGGTCTCTCCAGAGAAACTTCTAACTTCCTGTCCCTGGGGGGAAGGGGCAGTCACCAGGGAGTCTGCTTCCCCAGGTCTGGGAGGTGGCTGGGTATCCCACAGATCACTGTGCTGATTTCTTCCTGAGTGTCAGTCCCTCAGCTGCTGTTTCCAAGTCGAAAGCACCTCTGAGTCAACACATCCTGAGACTGAACCTTGGCTGCTAGGCAGAGGGAGCAGCTGCGACAGTGGTGGCTGGGGCAGGTAAGGGAACCTGGAGGTGAACCACCTGTATAACTCCTATCCTAGACCTGCATGTTCCCTCCTTCTGTGGGGCCTATTCCGCAGCCTTGGGGGGCTCTCTGGGGTGAAGGGCTCAGTTCTCTTCGGTACCCTCTGTGCAGGTTCTTTCAGTCCATGTAAGGCAGTTATTGCACTTCCGTCCATTTCTATCACCCCAAATTTCTTTAGGCTTTTGGTCAACAGATATTTCCTTTTTCATGTCTCTACATTATGGATTTACAGGGGGTTTAGGTTCCTTTGCCATCATTTTAATGTATTCTTGGAAGAGAAGAAGAACATATGAGGTCAATGGGCCACGCTTAACTGGAAGTCCACTCAGCCTGTCTTGCTGGAGCCAGTCAGCTGAGCCTCATTCACAGCCAGGAGCCATGAAGCCCCAGCGCCGAGGCTGACGTCTCACCAGTCCTCCAGCTAGCCAGTCAGTCTTAGTATCTGATCACTGGGACCTGTCACCATAGCTGCTATTTCTATCATCTTTCTTCAATTCTTTTAAGTTTTCAATTTTGAAATAGCTTAAGGCACACAACTAGTTATAAAAACTGTATAAAAGCTCCCATGTATGCTTCCGCCAATGGGAACTTAGATGGTCAAAGTACATCATCTAAACCAGGAAACCAACATTGGTACAATACATTTAAACTACAAATCTTATTTGGATTTACCAGTTGTTATATCTCTAATTTGCAGGGTGTGTGCCTTGTTTTTATGAAATTTTATCACACGTATAGATTTGTATAACCGTCACCACAATTATGATACAGAACTCTTCCAGTAACACAAAGGTCTCCAGGATGCTGCCCCTTTATAGCCCAACCACCCTAACCCCTGGCAACCGCTGATCTCAATCATCATAATTTTGTCACTGTGAGGATGTAACATAGGTGGAGTTGTATAGTACGTGGCCTTTAGAGACTGATTTTTCCACTCAGCACAATGTCCTTAAGAACCACCCAAATTGCTGGGTGTATCAACAGCTTATTCTTTTCTTTTCTATTAGTGGTCCACGGTATGGATGTATCATAGTCTATCCATTTCACCATCGACCATTTGGGCTGTTTTCAGTTTTCGGCAATTACAAATAAACCTGATATGGACAATCATGCACAGACTTTTCTGTGAACATGAGTGTTCCTGTCTCTAGAATAAACACCTGGTAGTTCAACTGCTGTGTCATACAGTAGGTGGATGTTTAACTTAAGAAACTGCCAAGCTGTTTTCCAGGGTTGGCTGTATTGTTTTACATTCCCATAGGCAATGTATGA